AAACTGCTTTTTTCCAAAGGGTTACCAACGAGTTCAAAAGCTACAAGCTTTGACGATTTTCTTTCGGGTAGCACGATGTCGATAGCCTTTGAGAGCATGATGCCATGATGATAAGTGGTTCAAAGCTACCATAATGTCAGGATCATTAAACGTGAAAAATACCAATTTAGTTCGTGGTGGCAGCGCTTTCTTATGCGAATAGCGACAAAAAAATAAGTCTAAACTTCCTGGCTGTAATATGTCAGATATTGCACAATACACTATGTCAGATATTGTATTTGTTATTATTTCTTTTATTGATTTGCATTGATGGTATTACTTTATGCTATAAGCAATACAGGCAATAGTATTTGTTCGCGCCGTTTGCGCTTCAAGGATAAGAGAGAGTGTGTGTGCATGTGTAAAACGATGCTTCGAGAGCAGAAAAAGAAACAATCGACGATGGTCCGTAAATCATCACGAATGCCGCGCTGGCCTGCATGACGTCTGTTAGGAATGAGTGCGATTAGAGGGTTTCGAGCACTTTTGTCCGTTCGCTTTAACAACCCGCGTTGCATATGTCTTTCGTCTGTTAAACAGCTCTAATTGCTGTCCGCTATTTATGATGTTTTCCAAAAATATAAGAGCGAAACACGTGTGCGTAATCCGAGCAATTTTCGGTCTCAGCACGCATGGGGAAATCCGAATTACTTGATGACCGACGCGCGCCATAAAATCGCTGGTTTCTGATTCGCCCACAGGGAATGGGCCCATAGAGTAGGGAGGAGTTGTCCGTGCTTTCCTCGGTTCCCTCGATGCCAAATCGAGTATAGTTAGGAAGTCCCATTTGAACATTCATCAACTAAGCACGGCTAACTCTGCTTATCTTTGCCGGTGCGTATCTCATTAAGTTCCGCGCCGCGCCTGCATCAACTAACGGTGTCTTGGGCGACACCGCCACTTCTTAGTTCTACAACTCTGTAGGTGTGAGTGTGCACGAGCGCCGAGTTGTTCCTAAACTGTTGTTGGGTAATCACCGAGTGACGAAAACTGTGTGTTCTGAGAGTGATCGAGCGTGATTGTGTCATCAAAGGGGTTAAGTGTGTGAACATCATCGATAGTAAGGGCCAATTGCGTTGGCTGGCGACGTCTGCGCGTCACTGAGGTGTTGCTCGGAATTCAACTCTGCCCATCAGCTCGGCAACTTAGGTGTTACCGCAGTACGTGTGTGCCCGAGACGTCGAGGATGCGGTGCGCCCGTGTGTGTGTGGGGCAACACTTTCCTTTCAATTCACCTGCGAGGACGAGTAAGTGTGAAAATTTACCTGAATGGCCATTCAAGCGTGCGAAGCGTCATAGGCTCTGCGAGTCTCAATTGGCCACTGATATGTATACATATAATTATTTTATGGCTCTCTCTACCTGCATTTACTGTGCCAATGTTATTCCGTCGGCTAAATATAACGCATTCTTATTCATTATTTTTCTCTGAATAAATTACAGTCCCTAGTTACATTAAACTCAGTGTATCTATTATAAATTGCACACGCCTTCCCATCCTAATCTTGAACTCCCTTTTGTGTGTTATTTTATGAGACTTTTAATTAACATCGTATTTATTAGCATTGAAACTAAACAGTATTAAATAAATCTCATCTTATGTTATATATGAGTAGACGAATGTTAAATTATGAAGTAAGGTGAATGGATGATGATTGCATATAATAATAGAAACGATTTTTAGATAATAATAAAAATAATAATAATAATCATAAACTATCATTTATTTGGCACAAAAAACTTCAGTCACAATTGGGTAAAATCCTTATAAATACAGAAAAAAATATACACTGCCCGTCAATCACTTTTGCCATGCTTACCTCAAAATTAGGCAAACTTGAAAGTTTTGTATCTCGGTCGGAAATCATCGTATCACAAAAAACCGCAGGGCATTTTAAAGGTAATTGCAAAAGCTTCCATTTAAGACGTGCAGAGATTTAAAAATGAAAATATGTGTTTTTTACAGTAAAAAAACTGATTAAAAAAATTTTAATTTTTTTAACCTCGACTTAAATCAATGGCAATTTAGAACCAGGCGGTGGAGGGCAAATCGACCTGAGGGGTTCGGAGGGTAATGTCTTTCCCTTTAAAATGAGCTCCCGCGGGGTTCTATCCGATGTTTTTTAACCGAGTTATGGCGTTTTTTGTAAAAAGCAACCTTTTTTTCCAATCCTCGATTACTTCGACTTGCGTACGTTTTGGAAAAAAATGCCAAAGAGAAAAAAGTTTCATTTTATGTTCAAGAATACGAAAATAAAGTCAAAATAAAGAAATAGAGAAAAGATTTTTTTTCGGTTTTTTAGCGCATTAAAAAAATAAAGGAATTTAACTTTTTTTTACGCTTAGTTTTAGTTTTTTTATGATTTACTACGTCCCTAGACATTTTAAATGGACAAACGGCGCATGACGCAGCATGCTCGGAGACACTCCAGAGGAGTAGCGCTTCCTATGCTATGGCAACAGGCCAATCCTGTCCTTGACCTTTTCGTATAATGTCGTCGGTCACCTCGAGCAGCTAAGAAAAGTTGCACTCTGCACATACGCAAAGCACCACACTCACAAGCGCAACGCAATCACGCACACCATTCTGAAACGGACACAGAAAGCCATCGCACTCACATACGGCAAAAGGTCTAAGATCCAAGTGACACAACTCTAAATTGCAGAGTTGGGTGAAGAGGCGAGCTGTACGCAATGATCCTGCGGACGCAACTGAACTGTCTAAGCCTATTTTCCGTACCGATGAGCGTGAAAAGCAATTCCTATCCTATAGATCTAGTATGAGAACCCAATCAGAGTTTAGGAATACGAAATGTCATAAAGCAGAGGAAGGCCTAATGGCTTCTGAGCGAGCGCTACTAATGGCTACCTGAGGACCGCCCGTGACCCTTTTTTTATGGACTATGGGCGGATCGGTATTCTTGCGCGTCTGTTGCATATGTACTGGGTTTTGCAGAAACACGCGTTTTTATAATTATCGCGGTACAAAATGACGAGGAAAACCTGTAGCTTGCTATTGGGTCCTTCGCGTAGAGTGCATATGGCGCGCGACGAACTGGCGTTTCGCGAGATGAAAGATCGTACTATATGAAAAATAAACATACTTACATCTTTGCTACATTAACATGTTAGCGTAATAATAAGATTAGAAAAATTAATTTAATTAACTATCGCAATCAACGTTTTTAAATTATTTCCTGATTCAGTAATAAGCCGTATGATTATATTTTACGCAGGCTTATTTTAAAGAGTGAAGCAATACCCTTCATATACCGCCGGTATTTTTTAATTAAATTAAAAATTGTATTTATTAAGTTAAAAAAACAAATTATTTTTTTTTTACATTAAATCGGTTATAACTTTTGAACGGCTCAGTACAATTTAAAAATCGAAAGTGTAAAAGTTGTATATTTCTGTTATCTTTAAAATGAGTGCAACGGGATCCATTTTCATTGAGCCGATTAAAAGTTACAACGCATTTTGTACAACAATTCCCTTTTTTTCATCTTTGATTATCTCGGAAACTATGCACTGTAGAGAGAAACTCCGTAAAGAAAAAAAGATTGTTTTTTAATGTAGAATAATTACTCACTATCAAAATTGCATTATGTAAAAAAAATGTTTCCATTTTTTCCCCGTGGATAAAATATGACTATCGAATGATTATAAATAAATAATATTATTTAAGTTCTATCAATTACAATTTCGCAATATTCTTTTTATACACATATTTTCATAACATAGAATTACAATAATATTTATCACGTAAATGTATTTAAAAAATTACGTTGACTACTGTTACACGAGTAACGAGTAACAAATACATGAATTTCATGTACTGTTATAAATATTATTGTAATTTTACCCACGGATATATTTTAGAGGGAACTGCAAAACTTTAAATTTTAAATGATTTTTTTGACCAGAAACTTATATCCGCCACTGTATGTTTACGCACAATATAATTAATATTCCAACAACTACGACATCTCTCCATTTTCGGAGTTTAAACAAAGTAAATTCACGATGTATCAAATTGAGCTACAGTCATATTACAACAGTAACTAAACAAATAAGTGTTAAATAGGATAACTCAATGTTATAAAAATACGAAGAAATAATCAAAATAAAATAAACGGACAAATAAAAAATGGTTAAGAATTTTTCTTATTATTTTGAATGAAATATTACATCAAAATAATTCTTCTCATGAGATATAAAATTTTTTAATATTATAATTAAGACAAATTTCAATTATGATACATGAAAAATTGTAGAACTTGTGAAAAAAATAGTGTTTGGACTATTATATCTTCAAAGCTTCCGGACCACGGAAGCAAAATCGAGGCTACACTTATATCATCGACAACTCGTTCATCCGCCTGCGACCATAATTATAATAATAATGCAGAGTCTCGGTCAAAGCGGAAATCAATTGTTGGAAAAAGACGGCACAAAACCTTGTAGTATATAATCGTGGTCATGACAAGAATCATCGTATAACCTTTGGGGGAGTACTTGTCGCGTTATCTTGACATTTCATTTCAACGCTCGGGCTTCGTTAGCTGCACAATTTCCTTCAAGCTTCTCTTTTTTGCTTATCTCCGACGAGTTTTTTTTTCGAGAGAGAGAGGGGCGAGGGAGGGGGAGGGAAAGCCCAACGACCGGACATTGTTGGCCAAGTGCGCTGGGATTATTGTGCGCCTTATCGCGCTGTGGAATTCGACGCGAACACTCGACTTTTCTACGAGAGGAAGTTCTTTTATTTTTTCAAGTGCTGTTGGAGATTCCACGTAATTTTTCCTTTCGGTTATGGTATTACACTTGGGGAGCTTCGTGAGTAGGTGGAAATTAGAGTTTCGGCGTTTTTCTTTTTCTATGTGAAATGCATGGCGTTGGATTTTTTTGTTGGTAATGGCAGGATTTTATGGGATTATTCATATATTATTTCATGTCTTTTATTATTTTCTTTAGTAACTTTCCTCATATTGTTACAAAATTATTAAAATTTCATATTGCTGCTCCAACATTCTCAATTTGCAGAATTTTGTATTTGGCATTTCTCATTTATAGGCACTTCTTCATATTTCTTTTTCGGCAAAAATCTGACAAACAGTCAAGAATTGACATACATGAATGACTTTTCTTAAATATGGTACTATACGTGAAACTAGTTCTAGAATAGTAACAGAAATGTAACGATGTAAATTATTTTTTACCTTCTTATTAGTGGAGCGATATGTTCAGGATTTACTTCAGATAGGTTTGATTCTTTCATTATGATACTAACAATAAGTCCAAGAATTATTGTCAACATACATCCAGTAAGTATATAACAGAAAAAAGAAAGTCGAAAAATAATCCATGGTTCGTTTTCTGGATTGAGCGGTGGTAAAGTCACGCTTTCGAAAGATGTGACGTTGAAAAGATCAGTACAATTTTCAATAGACATCGGTAAATGGGAATAGCGAATGGTTTTATTTATGGAATGCCACTTTGCGCCTATAGTTATCCAGGCCATTATTAGAAAAGATGCACTGACACCAGTTATTGCTCCTAAATTTCCAATCCATGGGACGAACATACCAGCAAGGAAAAATCCTACAAGTGGCCCTTCTACAGCTCCACGAATACTAAATGACATGTCAATGAGAGTTCCCATATATTCCAATCCAAAAATTAGTCCAATACTGATAACACCAATAACGGCAGAAATGATCTGAAAATAAAAAATTGTTAGAAATAGATATTTCCACGTGTTCAATAATTTAAAGTTTCACCTTCATGATACAAGCAGCTTTTGCATCGTTATTCGGACTTTCAGAGATTAAATTAGCAATGAAATTGTCATAAACTATTCCAGATAAAGAATTTATACTTGCACTCATAGTCGAGAGTGCAGAGCTAGTTGTACCCGCGAAAAACATACCCGAAATACCGGGTAAATTTTTTGTGATTTCCAACACATAGTAAGATATAATCTGATCTTCTCGCTCTATTAACTGTATTTTGTAGAATAATTAAAATTATTGCCTATATATAATTTCATATTACCAAACATTACCTTTGCACTTATGGGATCACAATCGTGATAGTAAGCATATATAATAAGCCCAGTAATAACTATACACACAAAAACGGCAATACCTCCGATCATATTTAACCATACAGCTCTGCAATTGATAAAATTTTTACAACTGATTTTAACATTAATTACGCAAATATTTTCAAATAATTACTTCTGCATATCTTTCAAATCACTGATCGAGAGGAATCTTTGAACAAACTTCTGCCCGACAGCTGTGTAAGATAAATTAACAAAAAATCCAGCGACTACCATATTCCAAAAGGTGTATCTCTCGAATGGACTCAAACTGAATCTGAAAACAATACATAGCTAAATATGTAAAAAAGAGATGATTGCTTTATAATACAGACTGAAGAAGATAATTTTATCCTCACTTATTGAGTTCTAATCTTCCTCCGTCACTTGAAATTTGCCACAATTTCGAAAAGCCCCCTACCGAATGTATTCCAACAATGAGTACAGTAAGTAGACCACCTGCTGTAAAAACAAATTGTATTGTATCCGTCCAAACCACCGCTTTAACGCCTCCCTAATATTTATAAAATAGATCTATTATATAAATAATAATTTCACTTTTTAGATAACTCTATTTCAACAGTCTTTCAATTGCATTAAACTTACTATTGTCGTGTAAGTTATACAAATAATGCATACTGTCGGTGCAATTAAATATAAACTGTAACCAGTAGCTTGTGAAAAAGCAATAGCAGGACCATAAATAACCATCGGAATGTATATAATTAAAGACACAGTATACAATACTGATGCATATTTTTTCACTGTTTTCGAAAATCTTAGTTCCAAATAGTCGTAGCTGCTCTTTACTTGGAGCTTATGAAAAATTGGCAAGGTCACGTAAGCAGTAAAAACTGAAGATAATATAGTGCTAATTGGATTGTAAATAAATATTGCACCATTTAAATAAACTTCGGTAGGTACACCCAACAAAGCTATCCCTGAAAATATACTGCGTGAATAGTTGATTATTTGCGAGTGAAAAATTATAGTAGCATTTTTTTCAACAATTTTTAGAAGTAAATATCATATCAAATAAAGCAATACCTTGCTAAAATACTTATAGCAACTGGAATATATCCCATAGTTTTTCCTCCAAATAGATATTCAGTAACACTATTTTGTTTACTGCAAAAGCCATAATAAAATCCAATTAAAAGACTTATACCAAGTAAACTTATGAATATAACGTAATCTATCCAACTAAAAACGAACTGATCCATTCTTGCTCAGGTAGCAAGAGACGCTCTACATATTAGATTACACGTCTTAGCACTCTCGTTACTATTTCGAGAAATCAAATAACAGCTTCATGGAAGGAGAACTTTGCTAAAGAACATAAATTTAACAGGGATACTATAAGCATTGTATGACTGTATTGAATATTGCATCTGTGTCATATTCAAGGTCTATCAAATTCACTGATAGTAACTAAAGCTTTGAAAAACAACGACTGTTGACGAAACATGACTATTACGGCTAATATCTTATCTTTTCATTTGTAATGCTATGCAAAAGATTGATTCCCTCTCAAATATGTTAGTTATTCAATATTTTTATTCTCGAACAACAATTTCAGTTCTTTGTGAAATTATCAATCCATTCACCACAGCATAACCTAATACTTATCGTGACTTTAGGTGACATTCTTTTGTATTAACATTCATCTGTTTTCTCGCATATTATACAGCATTACGAGGTAGTAAAACCTCTTCTATGTGCATATTCATTAATTAATTGATGAAAATTAAAACATTTTCATCCCTTTAAGTAAAGACAAATAATGGCAAATTTTTGAAAATATTTCTTACATTATGTCAGTGAAGATATGAAATAAAAAGAGCTTCCATATTTTTAATATACCATTAAAGAAATCTTAAATTTAAGGTCTTTCAATATAAGTTGCTTAATTGGAAAATTCAAAACAGAAAGTCAACAGCATACAGAATTTCCTAGTTGTCACCCACACAAGTACTAACCGTGCTTTATGCTACATAATTTCAGGAATCGGACGAGAATCGGTTTTTCCAGCATAATATAACCGTTGACAAAGGAATATATTTATTATAAGATTAAAGTTTTAAGTTGTTAATTTAAATCGACACCTTTTTCGAAATTAGACTTCTCACATATTAATTACAATTTAACAGTAAAGTGCATACTAGAAACACATTCAAACTTTTATAAGAAATATACATATATATTTGTTATTAAACATTGTATTTCAAGAAAATTATAAATCATCATTTAAAAAAGTTTACATTAAAATAAAAAATTTTTTTATTAAAAAACTGAAAACATAGTATATGATAATTCTGATAATGAGAAAAGCACACCACAGATCGCTACCGCAACACTCGATATTTTAGCAAAGAATTTTCGGATACGCTTTTATTTGTTGAAGTAAATCATTTATGAGTAGTCTTCATTACTGATATGATGTGAAAAGTAGGTATCACATGTAATAATGAAATCATAGGCTAACATACTTTTTTTTTAATGTAAATAATGAAACGAATTATATTCTAGATGACTAGTGAGGAGATATAATTTGAATTTTTGTTCGATTCTATTCTAATTGCTAGTATTTCGAAATTGGCTTATATAATTTAGAGAGACATTTGTAAGATAGATAAAATATAAATGCATCGTCAACAACAGTAATACACGTCAATTCTTTTCGGTTGATATCATTTGTTCTTCAATCAAGTCGTTAATTGGAATTCCTTCATATTTCTTTTTTGGTAAATATCTAAAAATGTGTATACAAAATTTAATTGATAATTTAGTTTACTTTTAAGAAATATATTCAACTAATCAAATCTCTTACCGCCGCATAAATGGAACAATATGATCTGGATTCACCTGACTTAAATCTATTTCATGAATTAAATAACTAGTAATAATTGCAACGACTATAGCAATCACTGCTCCCATGAGAACATAATAATAAAATGATATACGAAATATGAGCCATGGTTCGTCTAATGGATCTAGCAGTGGGAATTGTGTTGTACTTTCAGTAATAGTTATGTTGAAATTTTGAGTACAGTTTTCAGTAGATAACGGCAAATTAGGATACCAAATTCTTTTATTTATTGTATGCCATTTTGCACCAACACCTATCCACAACATGACAAAAAATGAAACCAATCCTCCAGTGAACGCCCCTTTTTTACCGATCCATGGAATGAACATTGCCATAAAAAAGAAAGCTACTGTAGGACCATCAATAGCACCGCGAATACTAAAAGTCATCTCGATAATAGTTCCTAGATATTCTAGAGCAAAAATGAGTCCAATGCTAATGATGCCAATGCAAAATGAGATCACCTGGAAAAAATTTCCAAGCACCCAATATTAATTAGCTACTTATGTAAATAATTGCATTTAACCTTGATCAACCGTTTTACCTTCATCGTAAATGCGGCTCTAATATCTTTCTTCGAGCTCTCTGGTAGATACTTATTGAAACAGATATCATAAATGATTCCTGATAGAGTATTCATACTGGCACTCATAGTCGACAAGCCTGAACTGGTGATACTTGCAAGAAAAATACCTGATACTCCAGGTATATTTCTCGTAGTATCTAACATATAGTATGGTAGAATTTGATCACTGCGTTCAACAAGCTACGACGAAAATTCAAACTTTAAAAAAATATTTCTTTTTGTATGAGATTTGCCCTAAAAAATTTACCTTAGCACCGATGGGATCGCAATCGTGATATTTAGCATACATAATTAATCCTGTTATAGTGGAACTTAACATTATCAACATAGAACCTATGTTACTTAACCATATTGCTCTAAAAAATAAATATAATGGGTAATCATTAGTCGTGTGACATTCCATCTTTTTATTTCAATTATATTAAAAGCAACATAAGAATTCAACTTAGAGATTGCAATAACGTATAGAATTCATAATATTCAAAGAGTTTTATAATTACTTTTTGATGTCTTTGAGATTCCCAATCGAGAAATATTTTTGCACAAATTTTTGTCCAAAAGCAGCATACGAAAGTGATGATATATACGATCCAATTGTCACATTCCAAAAAGTATTTCTTAATAATGGATTCAAATCAAAACTGCAAAAATTTATGAATCATTAATTTAAGTAGTGATTTATTTTTCAAGCATGTATTATATATTAAAATATGGAAATATATTAAAAATTTTGGAATTAGATAGAATAATATACTTAATATAATCTTACTCAAAAATATCTAATCTTCCTCCTTTAGCAGAAATTTGCCACATATTTGAAAATCCTCCCAAGTGGTGTAGTCCAACTATTAATACGGTAATTATTCCTCCTACAGTAAATATGAATTGCATAGCATCTGTCCAGATTACAGCTTTGACGCCTCCCTGTAAGTAGTATAATTAGCGTTACTTATTATTCCAAAACAAAAGCTTACAATTTTATTTTCAATGCAGTGAACATTGAGTTATTTCACGATAAGACCATTGGTAATGAGTTTCATAGTATATTACAACATACTTTAATTAAGATTTTTAATATATTTACCATTGTTGTATAGGTTATGCAAATGAAGCATACAACAGGAGCAATTATATAAAGGCTAATACCAGTAACTTGTGCGAATGCTATTGCAGGGCCATAAATAACCAAAGGGATATATATCATTATTGCTATAATGTACAAAATCGAAGCGAAAATTTTTACATCTTTCGAAAATCTTTGGTCCAAATAGTCATAAGTTGAAGAAATCTGTAATTTATAGAATAGTGGCGCAGATATGTAGGCAACAAAAAGAGCATCAGCTATTAAAACCAAAGGTGTTAAAAAATAATATGCACCGTGAAGATAAACTTCTGTTGGTGATCCAAGTAATGTAACTCCAGAATACGAACTGAAATATTACAAAGAAAATAAAATTTAAATAAATCGATATATTATTAAAGTAATAAATTCAACTATCTTAATGAATCAATAGTCCAGCAATGGTAAGAAAATTAATGAAAAAAATAATTAAGTAATGATATTTGTAATTCAGATAATTTTTAATTCTTATATATACCTGGCTAAAAGGCTGATCGAAACAGGTATATACCCCATAGCTTTCCCTCCGAATAAATAGTCATTGACACTGTTTTGTTTACTGCAAAATCCAAAGTAAAATCCAATCAAAAGGCTCAATCCGAGCAAACAGGAGAATAACACATAGTCTATCCAACCGAAAACTAACAGCTCCATTTTTCTGTACAACTTTTGGTTACTCAAGTAGAAAACCCCTAATGGATTCAATTTTACTTATGATTTTCAACACATAGATATATCACAAAATTATTATTTGACAAAATTGATTTTATTACTTGAATATTAAGAGGATTCATCTGAGCTAATATTTTTACTGAACTCTGTCACTGGTATTGTCCAAACTTGTAATGAAGTTGGAATGTGATAAAGTACCGATAAAATAGATTAATTCATATCTTATTGATATGCGTTTGCGTCGTTTTTCACGGTAAAATTACATATCCTTTCACGGAAAATAAATAAAATTTTTGTAAGATCATTCGGTCTTGATATCATTTATATTAGAATTTGAACTTTCACGTAACGTAAAATTTCATTTTTTTAGAACTATATACCTTTCTGGAAATTGTATTTATACTTTAATAATAAATTAAACAATGCTGTATGTATATGTTAACGTAATTCAAGATATATTCTCGAAATATAAAAATAACGAAGCGACTTTTATGACATCATTTCATGGTTCAGATTCCACCTTAAATTGCAGATCCAGTTATGTTATATGTAAAATGACTTTGCCTCCTACATTCTTCCAAAAATCAGACTGCTCTGCATGCTTCTTTTAACTATAGGGTATACAATTATCGCGTATAGTTTCTTATGTACCTCTATAGAATTTAAAATTAGTTCTTGCAATAATAGTCAATAATAAAAAAAAAATTTTAGTGATATTTTTTTCAAATGATAATATAATTTTTCTTCTTGGATTCTATTTGCTTAAATCAATACTAAACATTATAAGTAAATCAATTAAAATTAAATTATTTTGAAACGATACGCCCGTTCTTTAATGAAAAAAGTTATATCAATTTCAATAGATGACATGCGAAGTAGTATAGATATCTTTCTTTGAGTACCTATTGGTATAAAAAATTATTTTAGCTTTCCAGATAGAGAGATAATAAATCCATTTCTTTCATCGTAAGCACTTGTAATATACCGCTGACCAGATCTGGGTTAT